ACCCGTCATTTTCCTTAGAAATATGTAGGTAGCCCTGAGTGTGAGCAGATACAGTGGCAGATGTGGGGGCGCAGGGAGGCTCAGATTTGGCGATGACGTTACATTCTTTCCATGGGTAAGAGGAGATGGAGGGGAGAAGATGGGGAGCAAGGGGAGATGCCTTTCTGGAATGACTGCAGAGTGACAGCCTCGTCCCAGTGATGGGGTATCTTAGTAGATGCTTTCTCTCCTAACCCTGCACTGTTGAGGTGGGTTAAGGGTCTAGCTGTTCCTCCCATTCACTGCTTGGATCTCCCTCCTCAGGGTATCACTGCCCCAAAGTAACAGTGGCCAGCGGCCACGAGCCTGCATGGTGAAAAACAAGGGGAAATTTTGTGAGGGAATAAAGAGTTTACTCCAATGTTTCATTATGAAATTTTCAAACATATAGCAAGCTTGAAAGAATTTTAAATCATAGGCCTACAACCCCGTGCTCACCATTCATATTTTACATTATTTGATTTATCACATATTTATCTATCAAGCAACATACATTGCCTTAGTCAGAATTCAATATTTTTAAATAGTTTTCTTTTCATGTAAAATGTACAACAATGAAAAGCAGAGATCTTAATATATATTCATTGAGTTATGATAATGTACCTGTGTAATCTACTGTGTATCAAGATATAGAACATTGTCATCTCCCTGGAAATTTCCTTCGTGTCCCTTCTCAGTGAGTCTTGAAGATCACTGTTCTGGGTTTTTCTCCTATATATTAGCTATACTTCCACTAGAACTTTATTTAAATAGAACCATATAGTATTTGCTTTTTTGACATAATGTTTTTGCTTATATAACATAACGATTTTGAGATTCATTCATGTTGTGATGTCTGTCAGTAGTTTGATCTTTTTTTTGTTGCTAAGTAGTATTTCATTGTATGATATACCAGTTTGTCTGCTGCTCTCTTGTTGATCCCCATCTGGCTATTTCCAGTTTGAGTCTATTATGACTATAGCTGCTATGAGCATTCTTGTACAAGTCTTTTGTAAATATATGTTTCATTCTCTGGAAAATACCTAGGAGTGGGATTGCTCAGTTGCAGGGAAGGTGTATATTAGGTTTTATAAGAAATTGCCATAGCTTTTCCAAACTATTTATCCTATTTTGTATTTCCACCGATGACATGTGAGGTTCCAGTAGGTCCACTGCCTCATCAACATAGGCTGTTACCAGTCTTTTTAATTTTAGCCATACTGGTGAGCATGTGGTGGTATCTGCTATGGTCTCAATATTTGTGTTCCCCTAAAATTCATGTTGAAATCCTAATGCATGATGTTGGTATGTGATGTTGGTATTAGGGGTTGAGGTCTTTGGTGGGAGGTGATTAGGTCATGATGAGTGCTTATATAAAAGAGGCCCTGGAGACCTTCCTACTCCCTTCTACCACGTAAGGATATGAGTAGATGTCTGACCGGGAACAGGGCCCTTCCCTGACCATGCTGCCATCCTGATCTTGGACTTCCAGCCTCCATAATGGAGAGAAATAAATTTCTGTTGTTTACAAGCTACCCCGTCTTTGATACTTTGTTGTATCAGCCCACACAGACTAAGATAATATCTTATTATGGTTTTGATCTGCATGAAGATGGCGTTTCAAAATGCTTAAAATTTGAATGGGTGAAAAGAAGAGAGAGAAAATCTTGATCCTAAGGTTACTTAAAGGAGGTATATAGTTAAAGAAATGGGGAGCATACTGGAAAGACTGAAAAGCTGATTTGATAAGTAATATATTGAAATTTTGCTGTGTCCAGGGTAAGAGAAGAAAGCCAAAAAACACTCATAAACATCAAAATCAGCTAACAGTAAAGGAAATATATAAGGATGAAATCTTAGACAAGACTAAGTTAAGATGATATATTTTATGTACATGCTATAGAATTCTGTACATAGCTCTGGGTAAAATGAATAAGAACTTTAGGAAAATAGTTATCATTATAATGCTACTGACCTGTAGGTACATGTATTTTTTATTTCAGTGCTATTTCTACTAAATTAACAAACTTTTGAGTTTTATTTTGCAGTTATAATGTTATCAAGTGATAAGGTAAATACTCTTGAAGAAATGTACAGTCATATTAATTAGTTATCAGGTATAGAAAGTAGGACAGACTTACTAATAATTTTCGTATTCAAATCATTTGTGTCTTCTATATTTAAAAGCTTTCAGAGCTAAAGGAGATTTCAATTCTGTGTGTTTTATTTGGTCTCCCTGGACTTAGGATAATCTAACATTCTGACCATTGTAAGCTAATTTAAGTAAAGTATTACATTAAAGGAACATTACATTAACTTTTTTTGCATTCTCTTATAACATCCACTTATATAATTCACATTTATAATATCCTGCAAGATTCATAGCTTTCTAAATTTCAATTTCATAGTTTTGCCATTTTTGGTTAAGAAAGTACATTAATTACATTATAAAAGTAAACCATTTCTCTGTTTCTATTTCAGATTCTAAATTAGAGATTCCCAAGCAAGATTTTTTTCAAGAAGCAAAAACTCTCATTGCTCAACATTATAAGAAAATAAATGAGGTTAGTGTTTTAAACTTAACTAACATCATATTTTTCAGGAAATTAATAACAATTTTTGTATACTACAACAATTGTTCCAAATGATTACATGAACCCTAATAGATTTCGAACAGAAGGGAAAATGAAATCCTTACTAGCTGTAAAAATTGATTTCAGATTGCCTTTAAAAATAAAAGATTTTTCAGCTCTACAGGTTATTTAATTACATATATGTTCAATTTGTACATTTAACTTAATTTTTAATGTTTTCTGTTGTTGAATTACAGTGAAAGTTTTTGGATTAAGTATCTCAAGTAAAGATCCCGCTTTAAACACTGTTAGATGAGGCTAAACTAGAAAACACACTGTGAGATGCAGCCCTCGTGCGCCGCCAGCATGCACACTCACCCGTATCTTCTCCCACGCCACTTTGTGTCAGGGCTGTATGCCAGTCTGGTTGTTCCTTGAGGGCAGTAGCTGTCGTTTTTGAACGTTGCATCCCTAGCAGCGAGCCTTGTGCCTGGCTCGATAAGTAATTGCTTAATGGCATAGACTGGCGGGAAGGGATGAAAGGGAAAGGGGTGGCAAAGAGATAGGAGACGAGGGTACAGGATGAAGTTTTGGAGGAGAGCATGCAGAGGGGAGATGGGGCCTTTGGGGAGCAGCGGCTGCGGTGGCAGATGGCCCTTTGGGGAGACAGGTGAGAGAAGGAGATCTTAGGATGGTTTCCTGTGTGCCGCACTGCTCTCTCTTTTGAATGTTTTTTTTAAAGAAAAAAAAACCCATACTTTTAAATAAAGATGATTACTTTTTCCATGTTTCCTGTTGAGGGGGAAGAGGATTATATTTTATTTTGAATTGTGCTTCTGCTGCATGATAGAGTGAGTCAGCTATATGTGCACATATATCCCCTCCTTCTTGAGCTTCTCCATCCCACCCCCACTTTGGTCGCCACAGAGCTGCAGGCTGAGTCCCTGCGCTACAGAGCACGTTCTGACCAGCTCTCTGTTTCACACGAGGCAGCGCACACACATCAGTCCTAATCTCCCAGCTTACTCCTCCTCATCTACTCTGCGTCCACCTATCCGTTCTGTACTTCTAGGGTGCTCCTGTCCTGAAAGTACATTCATCTATACCATTTCCCTAGATTACACGTTTATGCATTATATATTTACCTCTTCCTGACTTACTTTTCTCTGTATGACAGATTCTAGTTCCATCCATGTCTCTATAAATGACCCAATATTGTTCCTTTTATGACTAAGTAATATTCCATTGTACATATGTATCACATCTTTATCCATTCATCTATCAATGGACATTTAGGTTGCTACCATATGACCTAGCAACTCCACTACAGAGCATATACCCCAAGAAAACCATAATTCCAAAGGACACATGGACCCTCAATGTTTATTGCAGCATCATTTAAAATAGCCAGTACATGAAGGGTTATAATTTTTACACGTGCTTGTTTTGAATGGTCCTATAGGCTGAGACTGACCATAGGTGGTTTTAATCTTGTAATCAGCATTGTTAACATTGCTTACTAATTTTTGCCTCTAATCAGTTAGAAGTACTTATAAATTATATGGATTTCAGTACTAGGCATGTGAGATGAAAAGTTTACACTCTTCAGAGTTAGATAGCTGTGCCTTAGAATCTTCACCTACTTTTAGAATTTTATCTAATAATAACGGGACAATATCTTGTTGCTTGGTAAAATGTAATACCAGTGTACTGAAACCTCCTTATTGGCATTTTGAGTTGGCATCTGTTTACTTTGTCTAAACCTTTTCTTGTAGGGAGAAGAAGAGCTGGAGCTCTATCTATGGGCTAGAGAATTACTAGACTAGAACAATTATAATTGTTTGGATAACTGCCTATCAGAGACCTAGGACTATATTATTTTCTATTGCTCAAGGTAGTCAAAATTAGTAAGCAATTAAGTGATTGGAAGGATCTAAAATACATATCCAATTAGTAATATGCTTTCCTTGAGAACCTATCTCCATGTATAAGCAGTTATTTCTGATTCAACAGAGAATTTTGAGGATGTTACCATTTTTTTTTTGACATTTGAAGATTCTCCAAAGATGGTTGAAAATGAATTCTTATTTGTCTATTTGAAAACTTCTATTTTAAAATTGACCTTAAAGCTGTATTAGAAAATATCACATTTGAGGAAAGCATCACTATTTTAAAAGTTATATATATATTTTAGGTTGAATATAACACTTATGCTTGTAAGGGCTTTTAGAGAACTATGAAAGATAACATCTACTTTATGTGACTATTGTCATGTGCTTTAAGTAAATGTCTTATACAGTAAAGTACTTTGTAAAATATATTTAGTGGATATAATTTTCTTAATTTATTACCAAATTTATTACCTAGTTTTATATAGTTAAATTTAATTAAATTTATTTTTGTTTATAGAGTAAAGTTCCAGGTACTTCTATAAATGTCTTCAGAAATAAACATCAGAAACCAAAATCTACCAAATTCATACCTTTGGAGATCAAAAAAAAGGAAACACTTGATGTGGTCCAAGAACTTCAGGCAGCATACAAAAGGATTTGTTTTCCCAAGGACCGTTCCAAAAGTGGACCTTCTGAGGAGCTGCCACAATGGACTGCTTTCAATGAGCCACACATTTTTAGTATAAAAACAAAACACAAGGAGCCTATAGATCTAGTTGTGAAAGGTAAGTTTTTTGGTGGAGCAAAGAAGTTCAGCAAGCCCTCAGGCAGAATTATTTGCTTATGGTGTGCTTATAATGAAATTTCTACATTTAAACAAAACTCCACATTTTAAATGCTAGCAGTGAAGGCAGGGAGGCATGACTGAAAGAGCTGCTAACCTCTGGGAGCCACCAGAAGGTGAAAAGAAGGCATCCTCATGGAAAGAGGAATGCAGAGGAGCAGAATCGGTTGGCCACTTCTTCCAATCAGCACAGTTCCTAGAGCAGGCAGAGGCTCATGGCTCTGGGGTCTGTTGTTGAGCGGGGTCGCTAGGGTAGGTGAGCTATTCATGAGGGTGTTAACCCAAGACCGTAAAAGGAGTTTCCTTTAGGACCTATTGTGGTAAAGGTTTCTTCTTTATCAGGATTTTGGTCAAGTGGAAACTGGTGGTCTATTTAAGCAGAGTAATACTGTTTTCTGAGACCTAATGTGTTTTTCTGGCCAGAATAAATGACCTCTCAAAATACATTTCTAGTTATAAACTTTCATAACTTCATCTACGTTTCCCTCTTTTGTTATTGCTTACTATGTTATTCATTCATTTGAATTTTTTCACTCAATGAGTGCCTGCCCTGTGCCAGGTGTCAGGAGTTGGAAACACACGGCTTCAGGTGTCAGGAGTTGGAAACACACAGCTTCAAAGGCTCAGAGAGTAGTGGTGGGGACACATACTTGGGTAATTTCTTCTGTGCATTCGGACAACTGCTGTTATCCAGTTGGTGCAAGGGATTACGGAGAAACTGAGAAGTAACCAGCCAGATGCCAGAGGGAAGATTTCTCAGACGAGACTTCGTTAGAAATGGGTTTTAAGGAGAAGTTCATGAAAGGTAAGTAGGAACAGGAGAGGCCATTTGGAACGGTGGAAAAGCTAAAGGACAAAAGAAAGTGATATGTCTTGGGGAAGGAGAGATTCGGTAAGAGATGAAGTTGCGGAAATGGGTGAGACGGGGCTTTGATGTGGTAATAATAGCAGACCCAGGAGTTGACCCATGTATGTTCGAGAGCCAATGATGATATCAAAGCTGGGAGATGGGGAAAGAGTGAGGTGTGACTACTTCTCTCTGTCAAGAAAAATAAAAGTGGCAGTGCAGCCTGTGGGGAGAATGGTGGCAGAGAGAGAAGAGAGGAGGCTGCCCAGAAAGAGATGGTCCCTGTAAGAGATGGCAGGGCCTAAAGTAGGGCAGCAGTGAAGCATGAAGTGTCCAGGAGGGATTTATTGCAGTGTTTCTCAGGGTAGTATTCAGAACACTAGTCATGAATGAGTCACCTTGACACAAGGGTTCTTTGGTTAGATGAGTTTGAAAAATGCATTTACTTCTTAGAGATTCATATTGAAGATTAATATATTGAGAGCTCTAAGAAATACTACAGGAAGGAAATCTGTTTAATGTTTTTAACCTGCCTATCACCAATTTGTTTAACCAAAGAATTCCCAAAGAAAGATACTTAGGTTTCTAGACGGGAAAACTCAACAGGTATCATTAAGGGAATTCAGAGGGAGAAGCAGACTTAGGGCAGGTGGAGACAGGAATGGGAAAGATGATCAATTCAGTTGTAGACCTGTTCAGTAGACATGTACTGGGAGATAAACAGTTGGAAGTTGAAAATGGAGCTACTTAGAAAGAACCAGGTTAAGACTGAAGATTGATGTTGGGGATCACTGCCATACATGAACCATTGTGGGGTTCATGCATTGTTCAACCAACATTTATTTATTGTGGGAGAGATATAGAGATAAAAGATGTTACTTGCCCTCAAGAATTTCAAATTTCATTTATATAATTTGTGTGCAGTTGGATGGAAGAGGATAAATAGGTGATTATAGTATAGTGTGACCGACTGTAATAAAAACAAGCGCTACTGTTTTGAAGTCAATTGGAAAAATACCTGATTCAGATTTAGTAATAGGGATGGATTCCCAGGAGATTTAAAGCCTGATAAATTTTGAAGGCTGAATAAGGTTAACTCAAGAAGGAAGAAAGGTACCATGAAAGTCAAGCATCTACATCATAATGAGTATCCGAGAAAGTGATGATAGTGTACTTGAGGGAACTAAAATAATTTTAAATAACTGATATGAGGCTTGGGGAATTAGAGAACAGCAGAACACTGAAATTTAACCTGAAAGTAATTCAGATGTTTTACAGAACAGTTGCAGTGATCACATTTGCATTTGAGAACATACCGTGGCAGTGGAGGTGAGGTGGGGTGAATTTTGAAGGCACAGAGACTAGTGAGGAGACAGTAATTCCCATAAGCAAGGATGACTTGTATTACATTAGTGGCACTGGGGATAGAAGTGAGGGGAGAGATTTTAGACCTATTTGAGAAGTGGAGTTATCTAGGTTTGGTCAACAGTAAGGTGGGACATCAGACATAGAGAAGGGCTGTGGGATTCATGGGCTTAGTGGTACCAAGTGGCACCATGGAAACACTGAATTAAAGAGTTGGAGATGCATTCTTATGGAATGGTGAAACTGCCACCACAATAAGTTGAAATCTAAACTGTGTACATACTGAGCTCTGTAGCTCTAGGTGAAGAAGTTGGGAGGAAACAGCATTACTGAAATGTGTTGGTGGTTTTGGTTGCCTTTGGAAAGTTTTTATTATAAAAAAGAGATGAACTAAGAAGACTATTGGCTGGTTTGCAAGCAGAAATGAGAGAGCGTAGAGAGGGACCAAGAATTTGGGTCCTTGGTTTTGAGCAAATACCTACTAACACTTAGCATTGTAGCAAAAATCAGATTAATGATATGTTTTTACCAACCCAGGCCATTGTTGCAGGTAATCCAAAGGCACTAACTATTAAGTTGAGAGACTAAAGCAGGAGGTGGAGAAGTGAAGATACAAGGGAGATTTTAAAACTATGTCTAAAAAAAGAGCTTTGAATGTGGTTATTGGTGTGCAGAATTGGAAGAAAATAGGTTAAAATATCTACCAAAAATTTGGTAGAGAATTTCATTGCTGAAGAAACCGTGAACCTTGATTCAACTGAATATTCAAGAGTAAAATAACCTGGCTTTATCTGGAAGTGGATCACAAAAGCTATACAGTCTCCAAGGAGAATAACAGCAATATGTGGCCCAGGTGCAAGGAAAAACTTCTCAGAGTGGATCCGGGGGGCACTAAGGCAATGAACAAGGGAGTGCCTCTCAGAACAGAATCCTTGTCTACTCAGGGGACTTCTCAGCGCCTCCCCAGCAGGATTCTATAACTTTCTTTGGCCTAATGATTGCTCCACTGCTGGATGCTGTATGCTTCCGGGGAAAGGTGGAAATAATTTATGAATTTGGTACACAGTGTTACTAGACCAGAAGGAGCCACAGCTGGGCCTGATGGAGAAGATTACAAACAGCCAGAGATCCTGGGCTCTGAGCTGGATGCAGTGCTTTGGTGGGACTCTGGGTTGTCTCCTTTGTGTCCTGCCAGGGTATAAAAATGAATGGATATTTGATGTGCAAAAGGGCAGACTATGTGGAGACTGGCTAGATGCTTATTATATCCCTTTCGTCCTGAGTACTTGGCTTAAATACACTCCTCACATCCCTTGTAGTTAGGAGGAGCTATCTGATTGAGATTTGGCTCAATGGATTATAGCTGGAAGTGGTGCACATCCATAAAAAATGTCTCTCTTGTGTTGGGCTCTCAACATGACACCCCACATTTTCAAGCATAAGGACTCTTTTTCAACATTCTTTTTTTTTCCATTTATTTTTATTAGTTGGAGGCTAATTACTTTACAATATTGTAGTGGGTTTTTGTCATACATTGACATGAATCAGCCATGGATTTACAAGTATTCCCCATCCCGGTCCCCCCTTCCACCTCCCTCTCCACCTGATCCCTCTGGGTCTTCCCAGTGGCACCAGGTCCGAGCACTTGTCTCATGCATCGAGCCTGGGCTGGTGATCTGTTTCACCCTAGATAATATACATGTTTCGATGCTGTTCTCTTGAAACATCCCACCCTCGCCTTCTCCCACAGAGTCCAAAAGTCTGTTCTATACATCTGTGTCTCTTTTTCTGTTTTGCATATAGGGTTATCGTTACCATCTTTCTAAATTCCATATATATGTGTTAGTATACTGTAATGGTCTTTATCTTTCTGGTTTACTTCGCTCTGTATAATGGGCTCCAGTTTCATCCATCTCATTAGAACTGATTCAAATGAATTCTTTTTAATGGCTGAGTAATATTCCATGGTGTATATGTACCACAGCTTCCTCATCCATTCGTCTGCTGATGGGCATCTAGGTTGCTTCCATGTCCTGGCTATTATAAACAGTGCTGTGATGAACATTGGGGTGCACATGTCTCTTTCAGATCTGGTTTCCTCGGTGTGTATGCCCAGAAGTGGTATTGCTGGGTCATATGGCAGTTCTATTTCCAGCTTTTTAAGAAATCTCCACCCTGTTTTCCATAGTGGCTGTACTAATTTGCATTCCCACCAACAGTGTAAGAGGGTTCCCTTTTCTCCACACCCTCTCCAGCATTTATTGCTTGTAGACTTTTGGATAGCAGCCATCCTGACTGGCGTGTAATGGTACCTCATTGTGGTTTTGATTTGCATTTCTCTGATAATGAGTGATGTTGAGCATCTTTTCATGTGTTTTTTTGGCCATCTGTATGTCTTCCTTGGAGAAGCATTATTCATTTTTAATTGACTCTTTTTTATTTCTTCTTGGTCCTTGTTAAACATTTCTTGCATCTTCTCAATCTTTGTCTCCAGGCTATTTATTTGTAACTACATTTTGTTTTCAAGAGTTTGGATCATTTTTATTATCATTATTCTAAATTCTTTTTCAGGTAGATTCCCTATCTCCTCTTTTGTTTGACTTGGTGGGCATTTTTCATGTTCCTTTACCTGTTGGGTATTTCTCTGCCTTTTCATCTTGTTTAGATTGCTGTGTCTGGAGTGGGCTTTCTGTATTCTGGTGGTCTGTGGTTCCTTTTTATTGTGGAGG